AATAATAATTATTGCTATTATTAAAAATTCAAAGAGATCAATTTATTCTAAATAATAATAATAACACATTTGTAAAAATTAATTTAATTTATTAGAAGAGAAAATGGATTTGTTACATGCAAATTTGAGTCTAACACTTTAATTAATGGTTCCATGAGCTCTTGTCTCAAATCAATGTGACACAAGCACTCACACAAATCAACCAGGACTGATTCTGAATCAGGAAAATCAACAATAATATCAAACAATTCACAGATCCTAAGCAAAAAAAGCTGAAACATACATGTACATGTAATACCATAATTGTCCATAGCAATTGTATATGGGATGTAATATCCTACCAGACCACTCCTTACTAATGTCACCTAATAATAATAATAGTAATAATAATAATAATAATAATAATAATAATAACAATAACAATAATAATAATAATAATAATAATAGTAATAATAATGTCCATTACCATATATGGCATTGAGCCAACTGCTTAATAAATCCTGAATTTCCTTGATGACTATGCCCAACAAACTCTCGTCAAATATGTCGGAGTAACAATCAGTCACATAATCTTTAACCTTAAAACCACACCCACATTAATTAACATTGTCAGACATGCCCACTTTATTCTCAATGGCAAGGACGGTAGAATGAGATAGGAGCTGGTCTCTCAGACCAAGAAATGATAATTTAGCTACCAAAAACTGAAACTTGTTCCAGTACCAAAGTTGGTCAGTATGGGTCTCATTCTCCATTTCTTCTCCCTCTTTCTCCTCCTCCTCCTCTAGTTGTTTCATAAGCTATTAATGATTCCTTCACTAGCGACTTCACACACCCATATTGATAGCCCCAACACTTTACACGTCACCGCCCACTTGTTATTAATACTAGAAGAACAGATTGTTAATGATTGTGTTATTATGGTTACTGAGGTGACACACCCACTAATTATTTCGAGTGAATAGAGTCCTTTCATTTCTTCTATTACATTATTGAAACTTATTGAGTTAGTTAGATCAAAAACTGTTTCTGATACTTCTTTTAAAATCACATAATTTGACTAAAAATTTTAAAAAGAATAAAATTAATATTTTAAACTCCATTCCTTGCCTTATCTATTAGCATCAAAATGGCTCCAAAATTGAGGCAACAGCTTATCTTGTAGTAATACTTTTAAATGTCCTAAATAAAAGTTATTCTAACTAGAAATAAGTAATAAAATTACCTTTCAAAAATTCTACATCAAGTACTTCTATTTTACCACGTGGTTATAGTATACAGTGGTTTTTAACAGTTTTTAATACCCATCCGTAAAATTTGCGGGGGTGTTAAAAGACATGGGTTGGGCTGCCTGTTTTGAAACCGAGAGGCGAGCCGAGAGGAATAAACAGTACCACCCGATCCGGAAACTTTTTGAAGCAAAAGTAATAGAAAAAAAGGAAACGTTTTCCTAGCACTCTATCAGTGTAATTGGAAACCTAGAGCTTAATGACACGCCTATCACAGCACCCAAGCAAGATGGCCATATCCCTGTCCACGAGCTATACAATTCTATAGCGCTGAATCCGTCGATACAGCCACAGTATTGAGCTCATCATTTAAGTAAGTTGAGGTCCTACAGTAGCTTGAGTGTTGCAGGGTTTCATGAAACAATTGCACTCACTGTTTCCAGTAGATTTCAGTTGCATATGATAATGACTGCTTGACACCATGTATATACAGATAGACTTCTGATGTGCACATTATTTTATGGTCAATGCACCATACAGCATGCTGGGGTGTGCCATGGTATTTTATTTTGCTGCTGTTAAAAATTACTATAGTAACCGTGTAGTTAATGTACACCAAACGTTGAATGGAGCCTTTGCCTATAGCACTTATACTCTTCCTCACAC